ACTAGAAGTATTGAACGAATCTGTTTCATCGTATATACTATTACTACTAGAAGTATTACCTACTAGAAGTATTTGAAATTGAATAATCTCGGAAGGGTATACATTGTCGATTAGTTATTAGACGATAATTTTATTGCAAAATGCTATACATTTCTACGATAATGAAATGTATTAAATCTCTTGTTAGATTAAAATTAAGATTCATGTTCGTAATATGTTATGTATATTATTTATATAACAAACATAGCATATTACGTTTTTTTCTTATAGGCTTATATGATTTTAAACAATAAAATTCATTAAGGAAGTATTCTACTTTGTCGGATCGAGAAAAATGCCTGTTTACAAGAATTTTTCTAGAAAAAAATATTGAAAGAGGTATAGTCTGTCTAATAAGAGTTTGTCCAATATAATTTTCAAACTATTTATTTTAAAAAAATGAAAAAAATTACATATATACACACACAATCAATATTACAACGCTTTTGTATTAATAAGTCCAATCACCGCTTTGTGAATTATTGCCTGATATCTTTCAGATATACTTTTCAATTTTACAACATATTTTCGAGATTAAGACCACCATATTGAACGAATCTGTTTCATCGTATATACTTTTTTTACGTAACATTTCTTTTCATTAATGTCCAGACATTTTCAATAGAACTTGCATCTGATGACTGTGATGGCTAAACCTAGTATTTTGACGTTTATTTTCTTCCTTCCCTTGAGAGCAAAGATCCCGAGTTTTGGGTCGTTGTCCTCTTGAAGGATTCAATCCTGATTTTTACTTTGAAACCATTTTTTTCGGCAGATATTATTAATGCTTTCTGGTAAATTTTGACCATCTTGGTATTCAAATTCTTCCTCAAGGTGACTGAGGCGAATTCGATCACAGAGAGAATCGTCATAAGCTCTGAGACAGTTTTCTTTAGCTTTTTGTTTCAAATATGATGTTTTTTCGTGCTAGTTACTTCCGTGCCCTTCCTTCGCACTCATTTGAGACAAACAACCAACAACAATAGTCTAAAAACTTATATTGATTCGATTCGTCTCAGTCTATCTCATACTCATCATTAAATACATCGTTCTTTAACGCAAGTCAAACAATGACTGGAACTTTCTATGTCGTAGGGGAAAAGCTCTTCTACTTGTTCGTTCAAAAATAGAGCTCGGAAGAGGAACTGGATAACATGACAAATTGACAATTTGCCCATCCGCTTGTACCCGTTGTATGCGGGTTAGAACCGATTCCGCGTGTACGACATCGGTGTCATCATCGTACGGATATTCACATCACGTGTTTCCAAATCCAACTCTTCCTACTAGACATTATTTAATATTTATTATGTTTGCATCCGGAAGAAATCGAACGCGTTAATAAAAAGCATATTAAAAAAGATTGAATGAAACTAAACGTTTAATAAGAAAAACCGTGAACAATAACGTAGATATACTGAACATAACGCAACAGTAATCGTTTTTCGCATTATTCGAGCAACCGATATTGACATGCTTGCCGGTTCGCCGTCGACTCCTTCAAATATTTATCTCGTTGTCCTGGAAACTTTGATTTACACAAGACTCGTGCTCGTGTGATGCGAGTAGTTTAATTTCTCGGAATTATCTAGTCAATATTGGTATTAAATAACGTGTCAAATTAGGCTGTAATAAAATACAAAATACTTCTGCACAAAAATATAGAAAGCAATACTAATATGTAATGTTTTGTAAAAAAATAAGTTACTGAAATTGTAAATATAAAATCTTAATTGTTTGTAAATAATTTATTATTTCGTAAATTTCTAGGAATTTTAGTTCTGATACGTACAGGATTCGTGTATTGCGAGTAGCCATATGGTGCGAATATCTGTACGATGCTTGACCTAAAACAAAAAAGCAAAACTACAAATAATATTAAAAACTGTAAATTGACAAAATAGTGGCTTCTCAAAGATTATAGTATGATTTTCAGCTAAAATTTTAGCCTTTTTTGGAACATTAAGACAAAACTATTGTAAATATCGTCTTCATCGTAGGTATTCGTACGATCCTGGTACCTGTGTTTATACGGAATCTATCCTGACCCGCGTGTTATGAATTACGGGATGGGTGCTTGGGTATCTAGATATTCCGAATTTTATTCAAAAGTTTTCGATATAAAGATTTTCAAACAAAAGTTTACCTGGTCATGCTCTTATTAGACAAACTGTAAGATGCGACTTTTTTAATGAATATTTATTGATTTTTGTAGATTATGATAGTATTTTTTTTTATCACAGACCATTCATATATGTGTAGATCACATATAGATGGCATTAAAGTGGAAACTGTACACTTTCATTTTGTGGAAATGATTGAGAGCTACTGATTGATCTAAAACATGAAAGCAAAACTATAAATAATATTAAAAACTGAGAATTGACAAAATAGCGGCTTTTCAAAGATTATAATGTTATTTTCGACTAAAATTTTAGCCTTTTTTGTGTCATTAAGACAAAACTATTGTAAATACCGCCCTCATTGTAGTTTACTTTGTGGAGAAATATTTTTTACAAACATGTCAAATTATTCAAAGCGATATCTTTAATAATTTTTTAATAATTACTTTCATAAATTCTTAAAAAATGTAGTTTCGAGAAAAATGAATTTAAAGTATTATATTATGTTATTTTATGTTTAATTATAGATTTTGATTACTTACTATCTAATTAGCTACTCAGAGACTATAGACAATATACCCTCTGTCTCTACGAATAAGTCTTGCACAGTAATTCTTACGAGCCGATATAACTTTCTGCGGCTCGTCTAAGTTTCGACATTCGATAGTTTTTAATTGTTCTGCGTTGCGTTGATCGTCGAATACTTTGGCTTGAAGAATCTTGATCTCTAACACTTCTATGATTTTTAATAAAGTTGAATATTCTTCGTTTAAAATGCAGACTGTTAGGAAATCAGCAATTTCTATCATTTATAATGCAGAAAAGATATCCTTCGGAACAGATTATTATATTACAGCATGTAGCTCTCATTGTTATATAAAAGGACATAATATTTATATATATATATATATATAGATAATTGGAAGAAAAGACAGCTATTCGTTTTAAATCAAAATGGAGTGTGCTGGAGCAGCTACGCGCGAATTTCGTTTTTTACTTTCACACCGCTTTAGTTTACGGCTTGTAACTCTGACAAATATTCGAATTTATACTTCACAAATGTATAAAGTTCCAGATTTTTGAAATATGTAAAAAAAGAAAAATTGATTTTTCCAATCTAACAAGATAGAATACTCCTTTAAACAAAAGTCGTATTATTATTAAATTGATAGTTTTATTATTATATATTACATTATCAAGAAAAAAATATGTATATACATATAATAATAATAAATAGAATACAATCTTTATATATATATATAAGATTTTATTTTCTATTTATTATTATTATTATTATTAAAGCTTTATCTATTCAACATTCCGGAACATATTCCTTAAGCGCAATATCACAGATACAATTACATAAAGAAATGAAACAATACTAATATAATACAAAAGGAGAAATAAAATTACAGAGTACGCAATGAACACAAAAAAAGAATAATCTATTTATCTATTGAAAGTAAAAAAATATGTTATTTTAACATACATGAATGTTTCTCAAACCGGAGATATTGAATACTGAAAAAATATAACAAACTTGTCCCACTGTGCGTCACTCTTTCTGTGCTTGGCAGTTTTTGCTTCAATATTCTAACACGACGACAGTAGCCTGTCTCTTTTATTTGTCTCTGATTTGGTCTTGTTCTCCAAGACACTCGTGCTTATTCTTTGAGATGAAGGCACTTCATCGCGTTCTCTGACTGTTCGTATTTGCTCACAGATTTCAGCCGAATTCGCAGCAAACTAATCGAAAAGAAAAGAAAAACATAAAACGACAGGCTGTCGTAGTAGTCAACACTCCCACGACAGAATGAGCTTCATTGGTTTCTGCCAAAGGACCCGCTTTGAGGAGAAAGAGTTTCTCGTAAGAGACGTTTGTGGTACATGTACGAAGAATCGTGAGGGGCATCTAATATCCTCGTAGGATGTTAATAAAAAAAGCGTGAATCAATCATCGTTCGGAAAATCGATTAGGCGATTATCAAAGAGAAAGAGTGAGATCGGGAGAAGATGGTTCTACTTCAAAATAAGCAATAGT